CACTTGGCCTTGTTAAACCTCATGCAATTAAAAAATGTGACACACCCTTGGTCCCTGTCAGTGAATACCCACAACTGCGCTGCCAGCTTGGGGCTTAGCTCTGCGTAACCTTGCAGTAGATCGTGGCCCCAGGTGCACATTTGTACAGGGTATTATTCGTAAATGGGTGTTTTGGACTGGATTTCATTCTCCTTCCAGTCCCAAGCTATCCTTCTGTATGTCTACACTGGGCTAGACCTTTCTCTCTTCTTCTCTTCTCTCCAAAAGCTTTATGAAAGAATGAAGTGCAAAGCTTGGCTGCTGCACAGTTTGGCCCATGTTCAGTAATTTCTGACAGAGATAGCAAGATGCAACTACTTACCTCAGTGTCTTTAATGATGACAAGGAAGGAAGAGCTGTAGCTAGTTTCTCCGCACCCACGTCTGTTATCTTATTCTGTGATAAGCTACAGTGAGTCAGAAAGCTTTGTTAGTTGAGCATATTTATTCTGACTTATTACCTGGGGAAAACTGGTTTTTGATGTCTTTTTAATATAATTTGGACAGTCTGTTTAGACCGAACGCAGGGAAAATACAAATTACGACCCTTGAAAGGAAATGAGAAATTGCCATAGGATTAAGCTGTTACTCTAACAAATGTACAGATTATGTCCATACACTTGTTGGACTTCCATGCCCATGGGTTAATTGTGCCTCTAAGTGTTAACACACAGTCCCTAAAGGCTCTACATTTAATGTATTTATTTTCAAATTTTCCCAGAACTGTTAACCTTGCACTTACTTTAATACTTCGAGTGATGTCAGGGCTGGAAAGACTTCAGATAGACTCTTTGCTCCTTCGTCTCCAATGCCATTTTCACTTAGAGCATCAAGGCTGGGTGAGGACAAAGAGACAATTAGCTTTCCTTTCAATCTAAATTTCTGCAGTTTAGTCACCTCAGAGACCACTCTCTCTATCTTGAGAAGCTCCTTCTCTGCAAGAGCCTCAATAAGCTTCTCTAATAAGCAGCTTTCTGCTTCCCAAATTTACAGCTGAAGAATTTCTATATTTTTTTACTAGTTGAATGGCTTGACCCATTTCCTTCAATGTACAAGATTATTAAAATTATTATGAAATAGCTGTGTTCCAGCTATGTCGAAATGAGATTGCCTGCACCCACGGAAACACAGAACTGACAAAATCCAGCAGAAGCTGTAAATCCCTGCCTAAACACCTCCTTCTCCACCAGCAGCTGCACAGCACCAGCAAAAATACTGAAGTTAATCCTCAAATTTCACAGTGCTTCTGGTTCAAGAGGGAGAAATAGTGAAGTTAATCCCCAAATTTCACAGTGCTTCTGGTTCAAGAGGGAGCCTGTTCTCAACCTGGGGCAGACACAACACACTTTTTTTCCTTCGAAACCTCAGCCCCGGTGGGGCTCTGTGCTAAACCTTTCCCATGAGCTTTTAACCATGGAGGAACACACAGGGAGGTGACTGAAGGGCTATTGAACAAATCACTACCAAGTGTCATAAGGGAGGATGAAAAGCTCTAGCTTTCAGTCCTGTTATATTCTCTAAAGGCTTTTGTTGTTCGGTTTGTTCAAAGCCAGTAGTCTTGCTGACAAATAAAACGTTTCTTGTGTACCTGAGCTGCCCCACCATGGAGGGCTGCCGAGGAGCAGTACCAGTGAAGTTAATCTTTAGCATTACTCACTCTAAATGCTGAAGTGATGGAAATGCTGCAAGAATTTCCACGAGTTTTAAGAATCCCTGCAGGCCACATACTGGACCCAGCCTGGAAGATAAGAGAGCCATGCAGCACTTTTTTTCACATGCTCAGAAACAGAAAAATTATGCATTTTTAAGTTCTTCCCCTACAGCCCCATATGAAGTGCTCCTCAGAAGCAGCCATTCCCGACCATTTGCAGCAAGGATTTCTGCTTTGAAGCTTCCAGAATGAAGACCCCAAAAGGCCAAGGTCAGACAGATCTGAGTTTCTTGCACAATATTATAATCTCGATAACAGAAATAAAAAAGTAGTATCTTTTTTTTCCCCAAAAAACTATTGGCAATTCAAATGTTGATCAAGATCAACAGCTTAAAGCATGAACTCAACTCCAGCTCCAAGCATTTGTCTCTCAGGCACTAACCTCTTCTTTGGAGTTTCCTTGGTATCAGAACAAGATCAGTCTAGTTAAAGGAATCAGAATTTTAAATAAAAAATAAAAATCAAAGGGAAAGTAGGAGCGGAAATGAGAAGAGCAAGCAGCATGAAATCAGAAGTGAGGTCAGATGTGAAGAGCAGGAAACAAATGAAGACTTGATGAGGGATCTCCATTGCACTGGTGCAATTTCTGCCCAGGGAGGATATTTTAAGCAATAAAATAGCCTTGGGGGCTCCTTACAGTTTGTGGGGGAAAAGAAAATTACTATGCCTGATTTTTCAAGTTAGCATTTCCCAGCCTTCTAGGAAAATGGTGCTAATTATTTTATTTGGGAAGCATTCTCTGACTTTATTTTTTCTCATGGCCTAAGCTCCGATAGGGCAGAATAAAATGCATCAGAAGACTCAGATAGAAAAGCTGAGCATTTCTGGGGAAACAGTAGCTCCCAGATAGTTGTATTACAACCAAGATACTTTATGTCCTGTGGCACGAGATCCACATCTGGTGATAAGGAGCTAACTTGTAGTAAAACCCCACAAAAGGGATAGAACCATGTCGATCTGTATCACTGCAGAAGTGATGTTCTTTGAGTCTGGGCCATAACTTGATCAATCGAGCTGAGAAAAGCAAACCAGCAGTAGCTGTGGTTTACTGAATGCTTTGCCAGAAACTCACTACACAGTTCAGGGACTGTAGCCAACATTTATGACTCTTCTCAGTCTTCAGTGTAATGGTTTATCAGTCAACAGAGAGGTCTATCACTTACGCAAATTCTAGTTTTCTGAGGTTTCTGAGGGCAGGGATTTCATAGCTGCTGCAACCAGATGCATCTTCCACACTAAATAAATCACAGTAGAACAGAGTATGGTAAATACTTCAACAACCAAAGCAATGCTTTTAAAAAAATTTTTTAGTAAACTTTTATAGGAGATAAACCACTGCTGCATTAACTGAGGAACCAGGAAACTTCAGCTCCAACTCTTCATTTGATTCATTTTAATCTGATAATTGCCTTTCATAGTGCAGGTATTTGCTTTGTTCTCAATAAAACTTAAAAATACATTCTCTTAAATCAAGTATTTACTGCCAAACATGAAATTTACTTTGTGCATATTTTAATCAAAATACTGTGCCGTGTTAAATTGGCACTCACCATTTTTATTTTAAAAAATCCAACCAAAATATTTCATTCATGCATGCTTTTAAGTGCAACCAGTCCCCCAGCCACACCATGACCAGGAGTGAAACACGAGGCTTATAAGATCGCACAAGACAAGTTTTTACCTCCTGAGCTAAAGGACTGACTCAGGTCATTTGTGACTGGTGCAAAACAAACTTTCATTTCTGGTCCAGGTGCTGCGGGGTGGGGAATCAATTAGCCCTGGTTATGTAACTGGAAGCAACCGGAAGACAGCACGTGCAGAGATAAGACAGAAATCTGAAGAAAAAATTGACAGCTGGGTTTTTTCTTGGCAGTTTTGATAAATATTGTGAGTGGTGCTGTCATTGATCCTCCCTGCCATGACAAGCATAACTCAGTGCAGGGGGAGAACACCCTGAGACAGTCCAAGAACTTGCAGGGCCTCAGTTACGGCTCCCTTGGACTAAGAGGACTCTGGTCCCCAGCACTGTCAGTGAACTCTCATTTTCTTAAATCCCTGGTAGATGAAGAGGACTCCTGATCATAAATGAGCCTACCAGCTGCTCATCTTCTCCTGCAGCTCTACAAGGTCTGAAAGGTCACTGACGTCCTTCATTGTCTTTGCCTTAAAGGGATCAAGAACAAACTTCTCTGTTGATACTCTCAGGAGTTCGTAGTCTTTTGCTTGTTCTAAAGCTTTCCAGAGCCTGACTGTATCACTGAGGGAGGCCCTGTGAAGTGACAAAACACGGAAAAATCAACACGTACGCCTGCTGTCATTGCATGAAATCCTCATCTACACCCAGTCCTGTGAATGACACTGTTATCTGCAAAGATTGACCAACCTGAACGATGCCACATTCTTTAGGGCAACCAGGTGTTTTAGCCCTCGCACGTCAATGCTGCTGTTCCGTAAATCCAAGGAAAACTCTTTTTTTGACCTTTTTAAAACAGAATGCAGTACATGGACATCAGGTGGTGTAAGAACTACATCCAGAAAAGACAGGTGTGGCTTCAGCCTTAAGGACACATGCTGCAAAAGATAATTGCTTTGTGTTTCATAAATGCAATGCAAAAGCTCGAGTAACCTCTCCGGCCAGAGCTCATTGATTTGCAGCCTTCTAACATATTTCAAGAATGTTTTCTGCTTCTTGGTTGTTTGGTTTGCATCCTTATTTGAGAGAGAGCAGAAGTAGGGGTCATCCTGGAGGAACAACAATCCAGCCAAAAATCGAGGCACTAATTCTAACCAGTTATAAGGTTTTTTCTTCTTGGATGAAAAAGGCAGGTACTTTGTTATACTTTTATCCTTGATGTCTTCTGCTAACATAAGGTGAAGAGCACCCAAGAAATTCTGAATGACAAAATCAGAAAATGTGCTCCCAAACTCTTCTTCTCCACTATCTGAATGCATGAGGAATGCACATGGCAGGAAAAATCCACATTTCAGAGCAAACTCTTTAACTTTCTTTGAAGGAAGAAGATCGCTTTTCATGGCGTTTTGGTGCTTTTCCCCAAGATACCAGGCTACGTGGGCTAGTGTAGCAAGACTCTCTTGACTTTGCACGGCTGTAACATCTGTTTGCACAGGTATTACCTTCTGCTGAACAAATTTCAGGAAGACTGCAGTAAGAGTGGAAGGAAGGCTTCGGTCTCCCGTTCCAAGTACGGCCTCACAGAGAAAACAAACAAATCGACACATAACAGGGCTGTAACAATGACTGAACAAGTACTCACTCTCTTTGATTAATTTCAGTGCACTCCCACAACAGGGTAATCCTTCAAAGTATTTGGTTATGTACAGTTCTCTCTGCTGAGGGGAAAACCCCACTATTTCAACAGTCTTGTCCACTTTGGACACACACTGGAACACCTTGTCTTTCGGTCTTGCTGTAAGTAATAATGTACAACCATTGAGTAGCTTTTTTTGGATGAGCCCGGAAAGCAGCTCCTTTACACGGCACAAGTCTTGTTCAGGCTGGCCAGTTGAGCAACGAGGAAAATTCTCATGATCGTGCAATCCTTCAAAACCATCAAAAGCCAGAAGGACTTTAGCAGGATTTTGCAATATGTACTCAAAGATCTCTTTGCTTCCCTCTTGAGGCTTTACAAAAAATTCAAGCAGCAGATCCTTCAGGCTGTATCGCTTCTCAGGCAAGCTAATTTGTTTGCAGTCGAACCAAAATACAAATTCAAACTGAGGAAACTCGCCGTTGGACCAGTCCTGGCAGATCTTCTGAACAAGAATGCTTTTGCCCATTAAGCACCACAACCACTTTAGTCTCAAGGTCTTTACCTCCCAAGTTTTGAAATATTTGGCTTGTTTGAAGGGCTGTCTTTTCCTTCCCTTGCAGATTGCAAGTGACCAGCTCCTTTTCCACTGTTTTTCCACTATTCTTCCCATTCTTGGTTTCAGTTTGGGATTGAACAAGCGTCCCATCAACAAACAGGTGATCAAGAGTTACTTCACGCTCCGTGGCCACAGATTTGCACATGTCTCGGAAATAATCCATAAGTGACGTACGGAAAGCTTCGACTGGCTCTAAAGAAATAAAAAGCACACACAAGCTGAAGAAAGTCCCCAGATCACCACGTTACTTCATGCTGCTTTAGGTACGGGATTGTACGATCATTAAAAAACATCAGTACCCATAGAGCATGCAGGTTCTTAAAAACAGGAGTGCAGGCACAATAGACACTTTCAGACCTCTGAACTGAGTAATTCTGGAGGTATCTACGCATAGGATAAAGCCAGCTAAGCGCACTGACCTTCTGAGTAAGCACTACAAGCTAGATGTCTAAAGGCAAACAAGCCTGACATCTTACACCCGGGAATTGTGCTCAGACACACTGAATAGCTTCACCAATTGTTGAATGACAGTTCCTACAATGAGTAGCTTTTCTATGTGGAAGGGAACATAGAAAAAAATAGTCAAAAAAAAACCCCTGGAAGTTTGAAGTTCAAGAGATCTAAACTCACTTGGTCTTTTGAAAGGTTCTTCAGAAGGAACTATGGGAACTTGGGCTTCTTTGAACATTTCTAAACCTGGAGAAACAAAACAATATACTTGAGGAAGACACCTAGATAGTAATTGATCTGGCTTTACTAATTTTACCAATAAGAATAATGCAAATTTTCAAAGTGCATTGCAACATATATTTTGTGTCATCCAGAGAAAGAGCTATTTGTTTATTTTCCAAGGGAAAGGAAAAAAAATCCTCACGCAGGCCCAGTTCAGCTGACGTGGAACTGTTGCAGGCAGTATGGCACCAAACAAGACAACAGTTGTTCCAACAGTTGCGTGAAGCAGAAGACCTACCCTAACAAGGTGACATCAGCTGTTCTTTTCAAATGTCGGCGTTTTGCATAAATTCATGTGCACACATACGACTTCTTTATGGTGCCAAAAGCAAGAGCTGCCTTTTGTTATTCTACACCTTGTAACCAAGCATTAAGGATGAAAGTCACAGAGAAGGGACTACTGCTATCAGGATTCATCCATTACTCTTTCTGACAAAGTTTTCTTTGTTCTTGCCTGTTTGTTTTCACACTAATGCAGCCTTTTGCACTTGGTCGGATGAGAAACGTCCGCTGTACACAAAGCTACTGGGAATTCTTCAGAGCAAGTGTATTTTCTACAGACTGGTAATGAAGGAGTATCCGTTTGGAGCTTTGCAGACACAGGACAGAATTTCAGTTGATAGAATCTGTAAGAAACCCAACCTCATCAACAGTCTCGCGGAAGCCACGCCCAGCAGAGATATGGAAAAAAAGAAATCCCCAAAAAAACAGGTTCATCTCTCTAGGTTGGTATAAATATATTTATTACCATAATATCTGGTGCATCTCGATGCAGAATGTGGCTTGAAAAAAAATACAACTCTTAAGGGGTCAGAGATCTGGAAATCAATTCCTGCCCTGCATGCCAGCAACAGAGGGACGGTTGCAGCTCAGAGCTGCCTGCAGCAGGGAAGCACCCAGAGACTTCTAATAAGCAAGTGCTTTTCCCAGTGAAAGAATACATCTGGTATATAGTTCTCCTCCTTGCAGAAGAAAAATTGACTTGAGATATTAAATAAAGAGGGAACATGCCTGTTTTCAGGCAAGTGTCTGGATTTTGTTTACTGTTTATTAAGTAAGAATAACCAAATGGAAAGCCAAGCAGAGCTGTGCTGAGACCTTTTGATGGGGAGTAGGATTGGTCAAATCATTCAGGTTTTAATAATGTTTAAAAAAAGGAAAAGGCACTGGCTCAGGAGCTTATGTGCTTTTTTTTTCTGGTGCAGTTGGAATTTTGAGGTTTGTGACACACTCACCTACGTTGTGCTGCTGTAATTCAGGTGGAATTTAGTATCGTTTATTCACACAAACAGTACCTATCGTTTGCAAACACCTCCCCAAACCTAGGGGGGTATTTGCCTATTAACGCCCGCTTGAAAATGTCGCTATTTCGGGTGGTGTTGGCCACCAGAGGGCAACGAAACCCTTGTACTGAGCTGCAGGCAGCCGTGATCGCCAGCGTACCCAGAGACGAACTAAATAACCACTGAAATCAAATTCCTTGTTCTAACAGCTCTCTGAGAGCTGGAAGAAAAGGGTCTGAGGAAAGTTTGTTACCCCCAGGTGGGACTGTTACACCCTGGTCTTTAAGCTTTTCTGTATATTGGGCTTCTGAATTGTTCAGTTAAATAAGTCGTTTCTGTTTGGGGGCTTCCGTATCAGCTGACTGCAGCCTGGCTTCCAGCACTGAAGATTTAAGATGCTCAGGCCGTGACAGCACCAGCATAACTTCCACTTCTGATGGGGCTTTTGTGTTGTTTTAACTAGACAAGAAGACTTCTCTGAGAAGCTTGGTTTTGTAGCAAACACAGTGGATTGGCGGCTTAACCTGGAGCTCTTCAACCCCTTATCTGCTCTGGATTTTGGATTAGACTAAACAGCCAGTGATCAATACAAAGAATGAAATGCCTTTAATTTTTATTTTCCTTATGCAGGTCAGTATCAGTAAAGCCTGAGGGGAAGAAGTGGTTTTGGGTAAGCTAAAGTACGGTATATATAAAAATTCATTTACTACTTACCACATAAACTAACTGCAAAACTTGGGGATATCAATGTTTCCATGGAAGATGACAGCACTGGCAAGAAACAAATGACAGTTTTCAGCCTATCATAGCTATCAGTAACTGAAATGAGAGAACTTAGTGCTTCGTTGACAGCATTGACTTCCCAGTACTTTTTGTCTATTTATGTGGATAAGAGGTTATTGCTCTTACCTGGATATATTATAACATCAGGTGTGCCGTTTTCAAGAACAAAGTTAATTATCTGCTGAGGAGGATCTGCGAAGCCTCCGCTCTCTTGGCTCCCTTTCACACTGACAGGTAGACACTCTGGAATCAAAGGTGCTGAAAATCCTGAAGCGAGTGCAAAATAATTACTCTTCTGTTTTTAAAGGCTCCTGGTTTCTAAAGGTTTCTAAGAAAGAAAAAGCTTTTTAAAAGCTACTTATCCTTTTGGCAACTTGTGGGCATATATTCCTAGTGGAGAGTTTATGAACCAGAATCCATAGGACTACACGAGGTCCACAGAATCCATTAAAGAAAAACTCTTAATTAAAAGGTACAATGCATGTGAAATACAAGGGATTACCCAGCTTTTAGTGACCACTGGTTTTCAAGAGTCTAAAGAGAAATTCTATTAACATAAGGAAAAAATGCTTAATGCAAAGTCTGTAAATGTATGGACAAGAAAAGAGAAAATGTGTAAATATTGCACATCTGAATTATTCTCACCACCCTTTGCACCTCATTCTTCCTACAAAACTGTGCATCGTGCAGCTTGTACAAGCCGCGGGCAAGCCCCCTCCCTCTGAACGCACCCTGGGCAATTTTTTTGATGATGCGGTGCTTGGAATTTAATGAGGCGTAGCTCTGAGCTTCTGTCGGAGCGACAGAATTTCTTCTGCTACTTTGTGCTGTTTCAGCTAGTGTCAGATACTTCAAGACTTCTAACTTATCCACTGCCTGTGGTTTGTTTCCAGAACTGATTTAACAGTGAAAGGTGTTGAACTGTGTCTTTGTCATCAGCACTTGCCTGTGTCCCTTGAGCACTCTCAGCTAAACGGCACGATCAATGCAAGGTGGCTACAGAGCTCGCTTGGACTAGTACTCAGCTTTTTGAAACAAAATTCAAACCTAGGTTTTGCTCTATTATTGCAAGTATAATTCTCCCACAGTCCTTTAGAAACTTCTGGATGAAAAGAAATCAGAACAAAGTTTATTAATGAAAATTTTGTGATTTCTCATTCTTAAGACAAGTAAGAAATAATTTAGATTAGCCTATAGTAAGTAACTCTGTTCTCATTCATTAACCTGCACGTCGGTTAAATGAAAGACTTCTGTTTCATTAGGGGCAATGTACTCTTTAATTTCTCCTGAATATTTTTCATTCTTTTAGCGAGTGCCACGCTTTTAAAATGTTCGATTGAAACAGTTGCCATATTTGTTTTCCCAGCCATTGTTTCTGGTCAATGACCAGATTTAAAAGAGAGTTTTGCCCTTACACAAATCAACCCACGTACAAGCGCACACCTACAGCTGTACTCTACATACCAGGAATGAGGAAGCTTCTTTCCAACACACCAGTAGCAGGAACAGAAAGGGACACGTGCTGGTTAGTCAGCGAGGTGGAGGTCACTGGGTGGCTGCTGAGGGGCATAGCTAAGAAACTGCCATTCCCTGTAGACAGTGCAGGGACTTCCACTTGAAAAAAAAACAAAAAAACCCAACAAAACAAACCAAGAGGAGAATGTTATTGCATTGCTAGAAGTTAAGGGGGCCAAAGAAGAGGTCTCAACAGATGTAATGAATCTCTCGATTCTGAGCACTTGCGCTTTGGTTTTCCAGAAGCAAGAACAATTCACAACAGCTTTCTGGAATTTACTCAGGTCTCAAAATCTAAAATGCATTTATGAAATCCTGCAGTAGATCACTCTTTTCCCATGCTTCAGTCTGTGAATTTTCTTTTTCTTCATCTTTCCTGGCCATGTCCTCTTTCTAGAAATCTTCAGATGTGTTTAGATCGAAACGATCTTACACACGGACAATTGACAGATAAGACATAACAAAGCCTCAGACTGGCTGTACTAAGTTTCCCAAGCATGGTTTGGTACCTTAATATTGCACAAGATTAGAAAGACGCAAGTACAATAAAATGAGGACCTTGGATCTCTGCTTAAGACACAACAGTGCTTATAAGGATAACTAGTCTGCGTTAAGAGGGTTCCCCAAAGAACCACCACAAACACCTGACTTCTAAAAGATGCAACTTACGTGCAGCACATGATTTTTTCTTTCAAGAAGAGGATAAATGGGGAGGGAGACTCATGTGCACACTGATTTCCTGTGCTTATCAAAAATCTCTTACGAATCAAGTAAGACACACTTGCGTATTTTAAACTAGCCTGCTGGTTTCCTTGGTTTTGCCACAACCTTATTCTCAGAGTTGGTTTTGCTTTTCTTTCCCTCTCCTGTCTGGCAACAATTAAGTCTCTATTTCTCATCTGCAGTCTAATGTCTTACCAGGAGCTCCATCCCCATGTGGGTTCTGTGCCACTAGAAGTGTGCACTGGCACCTGGAATGCAAGCTCTCTGGGGTGGGATGTGTCCACCTTGTTTAGCAGGAACTGATGTATTATTTTGTTACGGGAATCTTTCATTTTTACTGTTTTATGCCACTACAAAACACAGTACAACATATTCATCCAAAGGTGATTCTCTCACGTGGATTTTGGAAGAGTATTTTGCTGGTTTAGCTATGCCCAAGACACCCATTTAGGCTGTTACTAGGTAAGAACTTTAGCATCAGTCTACACTTAGAGAATGAGTTCAGCCTGCCTGCTGGCCACAGGTACGGCCTAGTAGATGGTCTAACAGCCAGCAACACGTAGATACTTCTCACACTCTGACTTTGGTTTGAAGGACTGCATAGCATGGGCTGGGCCATGAAGCTGTCCTTTCACAGTTACTGTGTTCAAAGGGATGTTTCACTCGATTTTTGGAAGCTGTCACACTTGGAACAAAGAGGAGCAAAACCAAGAAATGTCAAATGATAGCCTGAGTCACATCACTCACCATACACAAAAGGGGGACATGATAAACATTACAAAATTTGGCACTGACCCAATTCTTCGTTCTTTTGCTTTCTTCTTTCAGATGGATTTAGAAAAGTTCAACTGTGCCTCTCCTGATGCTAAGGAAGTAATTTTTCTATGCCCTGGCAGGAACATATGCTTCTGAACCATAAGGATCCAACTGCTTCCATGTGGTTGGTCCTAAGGTGCAGGGTTTGATAGCTACTGATCAGAAGGCATGGATTTGTTGCATCCTGAATTACAGAATCACAGGATGTTGGGGGTTGGAAGGTAGCTCTGGAGATCCCCCAGTGCCACCCCCTGCCAGAGCAGGGTCACCCAGGGCAGGTCCCACAGGAACGCGTCCAGGCGGGTTGGAAAGTCTCCAGAGCAGGAGACTCCACACCCTCCCTGGGCAGCCTGGGCCAGGGCTCCAGCACCCCAACAGGGAAGGAGTTTCTCCTCATGTTGAGGTGGAACTTCCCATGTTCTAACTCAAACCCGTTATTTCTTCTTCTATTGCTGGGCAGAGAGTGTACAAGAGGTGTACAAGAGTGTAATCCTACACTTGTAATTGTAATTCTACAATTCTAATCTGCTGGAACTAGAAACATGAAAATACATGATGCTGCTGTATCATCAAATCTACCAGAGCAAGCCTTCCCTGGAAGGTAGGGTTACAATATCTAACAGAGCATCAGACTTTGAAACATGAGACAATATTTGTTCAATAATCTTTTCCTATTCAACCAATATCTTACCAATTTTCTTGTATTTAGGCTCTGAAGCACCAGAGCAACTCTCTGCGGAGCCCAAGAAGCCTGAAAGAAAGAGAGGTGAAAGGAAGTGACAAAAGTTGAACCAGTTCGGTAAATTTAAGTTTCCACTGGGAAAACTCACTTTATCTTTTTAACACAGAAGGGAGTGTTATCCGTTTCAATTCAGCTATTTCAGAACTGTACAGGTCCAATGTATAAAACATGAATGTGAAAAGCCTTATATTATTTTGCTCTGACCACGAACTTTCAATTAGGCTGCAGATTTTTGTGCGACTAATCACAGATTTTTGCTGGTTTTGCTGTTGAAGAGCAAGATCATGTTTAATATCATGTTACAGGACAACAAATTCTGCAAATTGTAAAGAATGTGCTTGGGGGAGCTGTTTTCACTTCCAGCCCACAGGACAAAGTCAGAGGAAGCACAACGGGCTGTATCAGTTAAGAACCACCTGAGAGGTGCATTGAGGCTGTGTTAAAAAGTACTGCAAGGTAAATTTAGAATCCAAACACTACAGCTTTTCAAACTCTCACTTACTTCGTTTGTGACATTTCTGCGCCTTCATGTCAGCAAATTTCTCGGTGTTTTCAGCAGATGTTTCATCCAAATTGAGGTTCCCTGCTAAAAACATGAAATATTGCCAAATGTCAACTTTTGTTCTCCTAGAATATTACAGAAAGAGGTAAAAGCAAGAGAAACGCACCATCAGGCAATAAAGATTAAATATGCTTCAAATAAAAGCTAAAAACCCAACTGTGTGATATAACACATATCCAGACAGATATAAATTAGAAAGCCCACAGAGCTCTGAATGCAGATCCTGTCACCCCGTGCTAGTTTTTAAAACTGTGAAATATTAATCTAGTGCCATAAATTCAGTGGCTATAAAACAAGTACTTCTCAATACTTTAATGATGAGCAAGGGATAAAATATCACAGCCGTATCACAGTGTGATCTCAGCACTAGTAGTTAATCATTTTATGTATAAAAAAGGATTAGATCCTTTAAGAGACAGAGTAGAGGGTTCTAACCAGATTTTATAACTGATATAACTTATAACAGATGTTATCAGAACTGTGAAGTTGCCCACACTATTCTTCTATCAGCAGCAAATACTTAAATACTAATGCTGTATCTCATTTCCTCTAAAAACAATATAAATTTTGCCATTAAGAGCACAAAAAACTCCAAATTCTAAACATAGCAGGGAGCAGTAAAAGGCATTTAAAGAAGTCATGTGAACTTCCTGTAGCCAGAATTGTCCTAGGGCAGGACTGACCTTTGGTAAGCTATTTCAAATTGCTTTGCTCAAACATAAAGATATAGATATTCTGTGAATCTTTCTGATTGTACAGATTTCCTGAGAGCCAGATATCAAAGCTTTTGTGCCACTACTAAAACAATGATTCTGTACCAAATGCCAAGCAAGTATCTCAGGTCAAGTACTGAATGAAGGAATCATTTCATACGTATATTCATAGAATCCTGGACTGGCCTAGACTGGAAGGGACCTCAGAGA